TTATATAGTTTCTATGTAATTACTTATATAAATTACCTAATAAAGATATGAGCAAGGCCTCACCTTAAAAAAAAAAATAAAAAAAAAAAAAATAATAATTCCAAAATTGTTTATATTTTATACAATTTTAATAATAACTTTAGAATTACTATATAAATATTTTAATCTTGAATAATTTTTAATATATTGGTTTATTTTGAATAATTTAACTACCAAAATGATTATTTAAATGTGATTTTGGTTTTACTAATGATGAAAGTCTAGAAATATGTAAAGGTTTATATTGTCCAAGAGTTTGTAGTATTTGAAAAACTTGTAAAGATTTGATATTTGATTTTTTAAAAAATGATATACAATTTTAATATATATGATGATTTTGCTGCTTTTCTTAACAATTGCTTTAGTGATTGTCTTGGTGATGATTCCAATAATAATTTTGGTAATGCTTCTGGTAGTGCTTCTGATAGTACTTTTGGTAGTGCTTTTAATAGTTCTAGCAAAGCTTCTGGTAATATCTCTTCTAATTAATAATTTAAAAATAGTAATTTAAAAATATATTAATAAAAAATATATATAAAATAATTGAATAATAAAGTAATTCACAAATAAATACCTTTATCAGGTTCGTCTTCTTCAAAATTCAAATAATTTTTAGATCTTATTTAGTATAGATAGAAATATATAAATATTATAAAATTATTTAATATAAAAAAACTCTAACCCTAATTCAAAGCTAATTATAAACTATACTATAACTCTCACCCTAACCCTAACTATTCTCAAATCTGTTTAAAAATTATTTTTATATTAAATAATCTTATAATATTTATATATTCCTACCTATACTAAATATCAATTAAAATTTTATTAATAAAAAATAATAAAATCTTTAAAAAGTAATAATTTTTGATCTATTGATCCAATTTAAATGATTTAACTACCAAAATGATTCTCTCATTGAGTTGTTTCTAATAAATCTAAAATTAGCTAAATCTAATTACATAATCTTGCTCAAGATTATTAATAATTTGTATTATATTTACTATAGTAAATATAATATAAAATATTAACAAGTTTAAAATCATATAACCAGATTTAGTTGATTTTAAATTTATTAGAATCGCTTCTACAAGAGAATCATTTTGGTAGTTAAATTATCCAAATTGGATCAATAGATCAAAAGTTATTAATTTTTAAAATTTATTATTTTTATAATAATAATTTTTATAAAATATTATATTATTATAAAAAAAATATACATATTGCACTTTGCAATATTCTAATTTATCACATGTGTATTTAAATTATAATTTGTAGATTCATGTAACTGCAATTTTATATATGCAAAAAAATTAATATTAGATTAGATTAGAGTTTAGAATTAGTATTAGCAGTTAGCAATTAGAGTAAAATGTATTATATATCAAAATTTTGCAAGAAATTTTTTTTTGTTAGAGCTCAAAGGTAGTTTTATAGATAGCATTTCAAGCTATTTAAAATTTTAAAAAATTTCTTTATTTTTTACTATACAAAATTAATTTGCATATTATACCTAATCTTTAAAAATCTGATGTATAAGTATATCACAGTATGCGATACCTAATTAAGTTCATTATTATATATTATTAGTTTATATTATTATTAAAAGAAATAAAATATATAAATTTTAATTGTTTTATTATTTAAATAAATATTCTTAAATTTGATTGGTTAATATATTAAAAATGCATTTAAAGAGAATATTTATATATATATAATTTAAAAAATAATCTGCATTTAGAGAATATAGAATATGCATTTATTTTATAAATCCCAACTTAGAACCAGGCTATTTTTATGCATATAGAGAGAACATGCACTTAGAGAACATGTACTTAAGGAGAGTCGACTATAATTAGATTTTAACAATTTTTGGGCTTGCTTAAATTTTCTTACTGAGACAAATATTTTAGTAATTAAATTATTCAAAACAGATCTGTAGATTAAAAGTTATTACTAATTATATGATTTTTATATTTAATATTAATAAAATAAAAAAAATTAATATTATTTATAATTTTTTATTAATAAACTTTTTATATTAGAAAAATTTGAAACTTGACTATAATTAGTTACAAATAGTTAATTAATTATAATTGTTTAATTTTAAGCAATTATTATTAGTAGAAATATAATAATTGATTTAAGCCAAGATTAATAATAGTTAATTATAATTAAAAGTAATTAAATTAAATTAATATAATGTTATGCCCCTTCTAATGATTACTTGAACCAAAATTTTAGCTAAAAAAAATATAACTTTTGTTAAAGAGGCATGATTTTATATAGCAGTTTGTTTAGAAATCAACAGTTTTTTTCTTATAAAACTTTTCTAAAAAAAACATTAAGCATACAAGCCAAGAGTATTATTATACAAAATAACTGGCAAGTGGTGCCTTTGTATAAAAAATCTTAATGAAGAAAAAAAGTCTCAAAGTAGGCTACTATTTCATCGACGAAGCTTAAAGGCTGTTATTTCAAAGAAGAATACAAAAAAACAACAGAAGTTCTAAATTTCTAATACTTTTTTTAGAAATTTTGAAAGTACTCACAATTACCTACCTTCTACTATATTTTTGCTATTTTAAATTTTTTTAGAAATTTTGGCTAAAAAATAAGAAAATTAGCATACCTCCTTTCAAAAGATCAGTAGTGTTTACTTCTTTTAAATTAGAATACATCTACTGAAATGAGATCTCCTACAAGCTTATTTAGTTACTGCTTGCTGAATAATTAATAACAGTGTTATAAGAGGTCAAAGGGATTATGTGTAAAAATTTCTAGATATTAGGTGTTTTTTTTTTCTTTTTCTTTCTTTATACTATACATAGAATTAGGTTAGATTTTTTCTATACAACATTATATAATTTTTATAGCCTGGTATAGGCACAAAATAGTGTTATTATGGCTATCTTCTTTGTGGTCTTTGTCTTCATTTTTTTATTTTGTTTGTTTTTATTTAGTTTAGTTTTTCTCTCTTTTATTTTTCTTTTATTTCTTAAATTTCTTATTGTTTGTTGGTAGATTTTTTTTATCTAGGAAGCTAGAAGAAGAAGATTGAAAAAGAAGATGGCTATAACAGGCTAGTGAACCAGGTTGGTAATCTGGGGCAGGTCTTTATCTTATAGAGATTTAGAACCAAACTGGTGAGGCTGAACTCATCTTTGGCAGGTCACACATAAATTCAAATAAGCCACATTCTAGTTTTTTGTCAAAAATAACATAGTGTAATTAGTTATCTGTAGTGATAATATAATCTCATTATATTAATAAAGCAGAACATGTGACATGGCCGTCAAATTTTTTAAAAAAAAAAAAATTAAATTAATTATAATTGATTAGTTTTAAATCAATAAAAATTTTTATTATATGTAATTGATAAAAAGTGATAATAATTAATTAAAATTAATTAATTATAATCAGTTTTTAAAATTTTCTAATATATTTTTTTTAAAATTTAAAAATAAACTAGTTTTTAGGGTTTTCTCTTAATCTTTTCTAAAGCTAATAATAGTATAAAAAATCGAAGGTATAATATTATATTAATAATTGATATTTATACAGTAAAATAACATAGTATAGCTATAAAATATCCTTGCAAAAATATGTAATAGCTTTCTTTTCTATACAGTATGGCATTAAAAACGATAAAAAAAAATAAGCTAGTTTTACAATTTTTTGTATAACTTTCGACTAAAAAAAATAGCTTAATTTAAATAAATATAGTTTAAAAATAATGTAGTTTAACTATTATGGTTGGTTTAACAAATTTTATTGATCGAAAATGCGCATATATTTTGGGTTTTGGTAATTGTTCGAAACCCAATTACAGTATATAATAATGTCAAATTCAAAAAATTGATTAACAAAATTTTGGTTCATTATTATACTTAAAAAATATTTTAATTATATATTTTATAATAGTTTATAGCTGTAAATATACACCCAACGTTTTTTTTTTTTTTAGAAAAACTGTAAAAAAAAACTTATTCGGACAAGTCAGATTTTTATTTTTAGATCAGTTTACTAATAATGCTAACGTCTATTCCTATTTTAGCTAACTATTCTCCGAGTTAATAGCGCCAGTTTCCTAGTTTGTAAACTGTCAGGTTTATATAGCGATAGCTCAAGGATCTTAATATTTACCCTTGATGGTAATTACGTCATCGTCCGCCACCGCTCGAGTAGTCCAATCGCTGTAAGCTATCGGATAATACCGTTATTGGAGCTGTAAATTTCAATGTAGTATTTTTACAAATGACTCCTGTAATTGCTTAACTATGTGCGAATAAAATTTGGCGATAATCGACCTTAAAAAATAAGTTAAAAATCAGGTACTACGTATGAAAAAAAAAAACAATAAAATAAAATAAGCCAAAAAATTCTGCACAAAGATGTATAGACATACATACATACTTAAGTAGCGGATAAAGAAAAAAAAACAGATTCCTTTAGAGTACGTCCTATAGCAGGCTTAAAGATATATGTAAGTACGTTACATATGTACACCATTTAATCGTGTAACTAAACACAATACTATGAAGGGGGAAGTATAAACAAGTACGATACCCAATAACCCGAAAGGCGAATCCATCCGAGGAAATCACGCATAAATTAAGGATATAAATAATATCGATAAATAATTAAATAATATTGTTTGATTATAAAATTGAATTATTTATAGAATATTATGCGCATGATGTAACACAAAATCTAACAAAGTTGCATTTTGGGTATAAAAGGTCTCGATTTTTAATGAAATGTTTTTTGAAAAAATTTTTCTTTAAATAAAAAAGTTTAAAATGACACAAGTAACAAAACTTAGTAAATTACATTATTACTCTGATGGAGATATCATAATAATAGTGGGTAAAACAAAATTTTTATTACACAAAACAATAATCGGTCTTGCTTCAAAAGTATTCCAAGACATGTTTTCGTGTGCATCACCATTTACAAATGAAATTCCGGAAATAACATTAGAAGATGAATCACCGATAATATTTGAAGAGCTTATATCATACATATATCCAGATACATATGTATGCATAAATTGGAATAATGTAAGTGAATTTTTAAGGATAGCGGATAAATATATAATGGAATCGATTTTAATGGCATCGAAAGCATTTCTTGAGCGAGAGTTTCGAAAAAATCCATTACCAACATTAAGAATGGCAGAACAACATGGGTTTAAAGAAATTTACAAAGAATCTTCTAAATTAATTTTAGAGAGATTTCCGGAATTCAAAAGATCACAGACATTTAATCAACTTTCAGTAGCAACACGCACGGCATTGACTACAAAATATGATGAATATACAAACGCATTAAGTAAATTAAGTAAAATTGAATTCACAACTGGATATTCACATTGTAAGGAATGTAAATCAGAATCAGATCATAATAAAGAGATTAGTGAAAAATTTGAGAGTAGAGTAAGACAAGTTCAAATTCTTCCATTACCATTACCTCCAACCCAACCTTCTATTACTAGAAAGATTTTATTCGAAGCCATTGGGAATAATATGTGTGATAAACGATTTATGGACTCTCAGCTTCCTAGGAAGTTTAAAAAAACATTTTGGGAGGTTTGAACCTTTGGAATGTAAAAAGAACAAAAAAGATAAAGATCAAAAGTATTATTTATTTATTGAATTGTCAGAAAGATAATAAATGTATAAATTAATTTCATTTTCTAGGTTGGTTTAATTAAAGGATAAATAGTGAACATGCATAAAGTAAAGCAGTATAAAAATGTATCATATTTCCACGTAAAAAAAAACAAAACAAAAATCCGTTTTTCATATTTTCTCTAAATTTGTCTGAATTAGAAATAAAGCTTTTATTTATAATCGTCTTTTACCGTTACGTAATGGTCAGTTTAAAATTTGCATAGTCCCATAAATATAACGCTAATAATTTTCGATATATCAGTACTGCAAAAGTGTCGTTTTGATAGGTCGGTTGTTTTTTTGATAGACATCTAAATCTAAGTCGCATTTTTTATCATGCACCCCATAGAATTTGGGATTTTTTTAAACCTTGGGTAAAGATATTTTAGCAACGGCCCAGCCAAATTCAATAATTTTTTATAGTGATTCTACAGGTATGTAGAAGTAAAATAAAACAAAAAACCATCAAATTTGGTTAGGTAGTTGCCGAGATATCTTCATTCAAAGGTTTACAAAAATTGTATCGTTGCCATCAATGAGCGTTTCGAAGATATTTGACAACCACCTAACCAAATCCAATGATTTTTTTTTTTTAATGCTACTGATCTGTAGAATTCAAATAAAAAAAATTACATCAAATTTAGCTAGGTAGTTGCTAATATATCTTCGTTCAAAGTTTTAGAAATGTTATCAAAAAATAATAACTGCAGTAAAACTTTGAACGAAGATAACCTGACAACCACCCAACCCAATTCGATAAATTTTTTGATTTTGATTTTACAAATCTGTAGAATTCAAATAAAAAAATTTTATCAAATTTGGTTGGGTGGTTGTCAAGATATTTTCGTTCAAAGTTTTGGAAACGTTCAAAGCACCTATCAAAATAATAACTGCGGCAAAATTTTTATCTTGATAATCACTCAACCAAATTCAATGAATTTTATTTTATAATGATTATACAGATCTGTAGAATTCAAATAAAATAAAATTCATCGAATTTGGTTGGTGGTTGTCATCTTCGTTCAAAGTTTTGGAAACGTTCAAAATAACTATTAAAATAATAACTGCGGCAAAATTTTTATAAAACTTTGAACGAAGATATCTTGACAACCACCCAACCAAATCCGATAATTTTTTTTTGATTCTACAGATTTATAAAATAAAATTCATCGAATTTGGTTAGGTGGTTGTCAAGTTATCTTCGTTCATTTGCCAGTTATTGTTTTGATGGTCATTTTGAACGTTTACAAAACTTTGAACGACGAACACACAATAAAACTCAATGAATTTTTTTTATTTTGATTCTACAGATCAGTAGAATTCAAATAAAAAAAAAATTCATCGAATTTGGTTGGCTGGTTGTCGTTCAAAGTTTTGTAAACGTTCAAAATGATCATCAAAACAATAACTGGAAGATATCTTGACAACCACCCACCCAAATTTGATGGATTTTTTTTATTTTGATTCTACAAATCTGTAGAATTCAAATAAAAAAAAAAATTCATCAAATTTGGCTAGGTAGTTGTTATGATATTTCATTCAACGTTTAAAATATTCGACATATCAACAGCTGCGGCACAATTTTTGTAAATTGAGTAGTTGCTAAAAATTTCTATATGGGGTAAGGTGCATGATAAAAATGTGGCTTAGATTTAGCAGATCTATCAAAAACGATACTTTTGCATTATATCACGGGATCTAGAAAAGTTGATTTTTGCAGATCTCTAAAGCTAACATGGCAAAAAAATATATATAAGAGCAACATTATTGCTAACTTACCTTATAAGCAAATTACTTATTTATATTATTCATTACTAGATCTAAAAACCTAATAGAAAAAATACATAGTTAGTAATTATACTTAACTTGGATAGAGGTCTAATTTGATAAATAGTATATTCAAATATAAAAATTTTTACCAAATATTTCATAGAATATTTAATAAATACTGTATATTCTATTTAATCAACAATTAAACAAAAGTAGATAAACAAGATAAATTCTTATTAACTAGAAGTTTCCCTATTGATTTATTATTTTAATATAGCTTCTTTACAAAAACCTTAATTTTTTAAAAATAAACAGTATATCTAATATATAATAAAAATTTTAGTAAACTCTGTTAAGTCTCTTGTAAGAAACTTATTAATATTACTAGAAAAATAAAAACTATTTAAAGTTTGAAAAGCTAAATATAAAAAAAGGTTCTGATTTTTTTATATTATATCTAACCAATAAACTTCAACTACCTATTGTTTTGATTGTTTTCTTTTATGTTACACCTGATTTGGCCAATCATAATTCAGAATTTGTTAACACACAGATAGACATCAGGTGTACTATTGCTCCACCTGTAGTGTCCTTCGGACAATAATCATATTATAAACATATTAAAAATAAATTATTTAAACCTAGGTAAGTCTTGACCACTCTAGTAGGTTTAGATCACAGATAATTAGTTTGAGCTTTTAGTTTAAGCTTTTAGTCTAAGTATTTATTCTTGCATATAATTTATATTTATTTGTTATTATACAAATTAAGTTTTTATATAGTCAATATGTAATTACTTATATAATTTAATCAATAAAGATATGAGCAAGGTCTCACCTTAATACCAAAAAAAAATAAACTAATTTATGCATCACCCAGGTGAATTATTGACTTACATAATCACGGAAAAAGTGAAAAATATATTTATTATAGGACTATCATATTATTAAAATATTGGAATTTTTTTATTTTATTCTGTTATTATTATTATTATTAGATTAATAACAGATTATTTAATGCATAAAATTATATTGTATCTATATAACAAACATATTATTAGTAATGAAGTTACAAGCGAGTTAGCAGAAAGAACAAAAATATAATTATTATATGATTAATATACTTAATATAAAATAAATATATACTGTATATTGTAAACATATTTAGCAAAAAACATAGGTTTCTATAAAGTTGTAAGTATAAAATTCATTTGTTTAGCTTGTGTATTTAAACTCAATTATTCAACTTCATAATATTTTCTTACTGTAATTCATTATTCAGTGAATATTCGAATATTCATTTGAAATTTGCTGAATATTCGGATATTGAAAAAATTGAACAAATGAATATTCGAATACTTTTTTTTTGATCGGATCAGACCTCTAGACCTGGCAGGAATAAGAGGTACATCCCGGTCATCTGGGCCCACAGTAGGGTGGAGATCTACTGGGTTATTTCCCCGTAGCGGCGAAATAAGGATGTTTTTATATGTCATGACGGGCTTTACGACTCACAATCACTAGTTTGATCAATAAAAAAATCGAGTTTCTAGCAATGTTTTGTTATTTCCTCGGTAACGCTTGTTATTTCCCCGGAAGTCCGGGAAATAACAACGTTGCCGGGGAAATAACAAACATTGCTAGAAACTCGATTTTTTTACTGATTAAAGTAGTGATTATAAGTCGTAAACCCCGTCATGTGATCATATAGAAACGTGGAATAAATTGGTTTTTTCCAATGTAGAAAATGAAATAACTCATATCTTTAATATTATCTATATTCTATTAACTAATCAAAATTATATATTCTATTAACCAATCACGTTTGATTATGTAATCTTAAAATTGCACTTTAAATCCCGTGCTATAATAATTTTGATTGTGTTGTACTGTACATATGCAGAAAGAAAATTTGAAAAAGAATTTTTCAGCACCCCTGTAACAAAATATTACTAAATGATTTGGAGTTTTTATTAAATATGTGCATGTCAAGGGTATACATGACAATTACGTTTATACATTATCAATGACATAAATCACGATTGCATTGTAACATCATCAGTTTCCTCATCTTTCGCTATCGGCTCAGATTCAGGTTCAACAGTATCTATTTCCATAGTAGTAGTCGTCGTTTCATTTGCCCCAATGACAGTTTCGTTAGCATTATTAGGATTTGATATTGGTGGGGTACCAGGTGCTGATGTTACATCCTCTTGTGCAACATCGGAAGGTGGGGCAGGAGGTCGAGAGGAATTTGGCGAAGGAGTCATTATCGAGGGTCTATCTGCTGGTGGAACACTAGTGCTCACTGTAGTGTTGAGTACATCGTCAAATATTTGATTGGATCTTGATGGTTTGTTGCGTCCTTGATCTCTAATTCCGCTGTTTGTCTTACCAGAACGCGAGGATGACCCACGACTTTCACTTTCATTATGTAAAGCTGTTTTGTTGTTTGCACGAGCCTTACGTGCTGAAGACTCTCCTGACTTTCCATTAGTATAATAACTCCTCTCATGTCGCCTTCCACCTTCATCCTCAGAATCGGAAAATTCATTTTCTGGAACAACGCGTGTATTCAGCTGTCGTTCTGAATTGATGCATAAATAAATTAGCAAGTTTGAAGTTTATAAGTAAAAAAAGGATGAAATTTTAAACTAACGCGATATTCTTGTATCCGGATCGTCTTCTTCCTCATCTTCTTCTGACTCTTCAGGATACGGTACAGCTTAATAATAAATTTATTGTTAAATGTAAGTTATAAAATAACACAGAAGAGATTTAAATTTCATGATACTCACGATGGATTTGAACACTAGGAGCAAAAGGAATATTCCGCAGATTTTCAAATACTTTTGCTCTATAAAATAAAAATTGTCTTTAATTGATGATTTTACTAAAGAACGATGTGTTTAAAATGAAATGTACTTCATATCAGCTAAGTAGGCAGGTGTATTCATATTTTCCATATTATTTGCAGGAACGTCAAGTTTGTAATTTGGTCCATAGTATTCCAAGAAGTTATTGTATGGTAGATCTAAATAAAACAAGCCACTTTAATAAAAATATGAACGCAACGTAAATTGTAATGATCAAGAATAATTTATCACCTTCGCTAAGCTGATCCCCAAGCAATAAGCCAGTTTCATACGTCCA